CTATTCATACTAATGGTGAATGTTTCCTTTAACCGTTAATATCATTCAAGAACATTGACATTAATATTAATGATTAATGAAAACATTAATTTTAAAATTAATGTTAATGTTTTTCATTAATCATTAATATTAATGAATTAAGTTTGTCTTAGAAAACATTAAGCATTAATATTAATGGTTAATGAGAAACATTAACATTAATATAAAATTAATGTTAATGGCCCACCCCTACCCCCCTCCGCTCAAAAAAAGTCGATTTTCGTCAAAAAAATGAAAATTGACGGAACACCATGGAACCATAGCCAATGTTCTGCTCTTTCAGAATCACTATAGTATTTTTTCCAAAGACAACTTTTTTACCGAAATTTTTAGTGATCTTTGAGAGGTCCTTTATGTCAAAAACGGCAGTATAATTAAGTCTTAGTTCTCTAATGACTGACTGATTAATCAATTAATTAAGCGCTCAGCGTGTGCAGAATTAAAAGCTACGTAGGAAAGTTAAGTCAGCTTCCTCAAAAAACGCGTGAAAATTGCAGAAAATTTAAAAAAACAGCAAAAACTTTGCAAACAAATGTTTTTATGTTTTTCTCAAAATCATGCTTTTACATTTACCTTTCTAGTTATTTTACCTTCGACTATGTTTTTTCGACAATTTTTCATAACCGTTCGATAGAGCACACAAAGACGCAGCGCATCTCGTGCTCCCATTTTTGAGAAAGCTGTTTTTTATGCCCAAAACCATCGCGTACAAAATTCACAAGCAGTTTTTTGGCCTTTTCTCAAGGACTTTGAATTGTGGAAACTTTTTTGCCTGACAGAACGAACTTTTTTAAAATCAAACCACAAGATGCGCTGCATCTCTCCTTCCTATATCGATTGGTAAAAAAAAATTTCCGAAAAACATACCTGAAAGCAAAATAGCAAAGCCGAAAAAAACGTCCCTTTTAACCAGTGTTCACTTAATAACTTCCTTAAACTTGCATATTTCGCGCTGAAATCTGTATCGCAGGCTACTCGCTCCAATCCTAACATACCCTGGAAATTTCACCACACATCGACTTTCTTTGCCGAAAATCGACTCTTGGGGGGAAGCCCTGAATAACTCAACCCGCAAAGACCATATTTATCGTTACACCCACACCCACACCCACACCCTCGATACATTGACCTGTTCTCTGAACAGCTTTATTACCTTCAGTAGTGCCTACTGTGACACGTGGGGCACATGCTACAACTGAGAGAGTAACTTGTTTTGGTGAATGCTTGTCTGTTGTTTCGACGATTTGGATAACAATCTTGGTNTGTTCCTTTTGTTGTTGATACTGATCCTGCAACTTTGGATGTTGTTTTGGGTTCACCGCGAGTTGTTGTTCCTTTTGTTGTTGATACTGATCCTGCAACTTCGGATGTTGTCTTGTGTTCACCGTGAGTTGTCTTGTCTGCACCTTGAGTTGTTGTTCCTAAAATTCAAGTGCATCATTATGTTTGGTTCTTACTCGATAAATTTATCTGTTCTGTGAACAGCTTTATTACCTTCAGTAGTGCCTACTGTGACACGTGGGGCACATGCTACAACTGAGAGAGTAACTTGTTTTGGTGAATGATTGTCTGTTGTTTCGACGATTTGGATAACAATCTTGGTCACAAGTTCAGCTGGGAACTCATGATTTGGCAGGCTCGTTGGATGTCCACGTATTGGCGATAAAGTTTTACCTTCAACTGTTGTCAAAATCACCACGATTGCAGCGACGTTCCTAGATGTCACTTTAACGTCTCGAACGATGGCACCGTTCTTTGGAATGTCGATCACTATGACTGGACTTAGTTCGACAAAGTCGACACCGAGCTTGATAAGGTCTTCTTTCTTAGCTTTGTTCTCTGCGGCTATGGTAACCGAATTTGATGCAATCAATTGATCGATATACTCCATGTGCTTGCAATGGAACCTTGTTGTGGTTTCTGCTGGCTGAGATGTGGTGGCGCCAGTTGTTAGAACAGTTCCAGCTGTCTCACCGGTTGTTTTAACGACTTTACGTGTTGTTCCTTGTGTAGATTCTTCGGTTGTCTTGACTTCACCGTGAGTTGTCTTGACATCAGCGTGTGTTGTCTTGACTTCACGTTCAGTTGTTGTTCTAGTGGTAGCTGCTTTCGTTTGGTGAACAGATGTTGGGTCTTCGGAAGCTGGTTTCGTTTCACGAGCGACTGTGGTTTCTTTGGTGGCGGGTATCGTTTCGCGGGTGAATGCTCGCTGTGTGGTTTGGGGTTTCGTTTCACGCGTGACTGTTGTTTCTGCGCTGGCTGGTGTGGTTTCTCGGACGAGTGGTGTTTCTTCGGTGCTCTCTGAACTAGTTGACTCTGTAGTTGAAGGCCTTGTAGTCATTGTCCCTATAATATGTAGTGGCATAGTTAGTGTTTTATTAGCTGGAGTTAATTAAGAATATTGATAAATCTACCTTGTGTCCCAGGCTTTACTTTTACTGTGGCGTGACCTCCGTCGCAAGCTATGATGGAAAGAGTGACGCCTGCTGGTGGTTTTTCTCCTTTTGTTTCTGCCAAAGTGAGTATGATTTGCTTCACTTTTTCTGTTGGTAACTGATCTTTTTGTAAATTATTTGGATTACTTTTGAGTTCTACCAATTGTTCTCCTGACTGGCCTATGAATATTGCGTTAATTTGATGAACATTGATGGAATCCAATCGTAGATCACGGATAATCATGCCGGCGTTCGGAAGCTCAATGACGAATATAGGCTTGTGTTGTGTGAAGGTGACACTATTTCTAATCAAATCTTCTTTATTAGAAATATCTTCGGGTGTTACGATGATAGCATTCGTTGAAATAAGTATACCTATCAACTCCATTTCAGCACATTTCGTTACCGTCGTTGGGGGAACTGTTTTTGGAATCGATACCAAAGTTGTATGTGATTGTAATTTTGTTGCAGCAGTCGTTTCATCGCATACTACTATTGACAGTGTGACACCACCCGCTGCGTAATCATCATTGGTTTTTATCACTGTTATAGCAATTTTGTTAACTTTTTCGGCAGGGAATTCATCTGTATGCAACGCTGTGGGTGCACCTCGAACTAGGCCTGTTTGGATACCTGATTTTCTCTGGAAGCTAACTTCAATTTGAGCAGCATTGGTCGAAAACAATTTTACATCACGAACAATGGCACCATCTTGGGGTATGTCAATTATTATTTTTGATTGTTCGTTAGTGAAATCAACGCCTTTGGAAATAAAATCATCCGTGTTTGAGATATCCATAGGTGCTGTTCTAACTGATTTTGTTGCGATAAGATAAGTAATAAACTCTTTTTCATCGCAGAACCACTGAGTAGTCACTGGCTGCCTATCAATCATTGAAGTTTGTCCAAGTGATACAGCAGAGCCAATAGTTGTGATTTCGACACCAACAGTCGTTTTCGAGTCTAGCGACACAACTGGAGCAGTTGTATAATCTGATTGAGAGGTAGGTTCAGGAATCACCGATATTGTAGCAGCTACATTAAATGACAAAAAGAATATTTTATATAAGTTTTATACGATAATAAAATAAAAAAGATTAGCAGGATTCGAATATAGAATTCAAGAGATGAGAAAGCGACTTCTTCTATGTATCAAATATAATAAATAAATTCTTGAGTGAAAGTGTTTCTGAATGAAGATGTATCCAAAAAATGAGTAGCAATACTCACATCACTATATTTCAAATCTTTTACATGCATAAACTGTTAAGAAATGATATTTCTATATGACAGGATATGTTTGGAGCTTATTTTCTCATTCAACGTATGCTTTCGTTTATATAGAATCATTATAAAATCTAATCAAAAGTAGAAATTCACTTCGGCTAGATTAGTACTATCTGCTGTAAACGCCAAATATTCTGCACTATCGTCATTCCTGTACGATACACACGATCACTCTGTCCTCAAACTTTTGCCGCTATGGCTGATTGGTTAAGATGTTTGATACATATCCACAAGATACTGTGATCGAAACTCGGCTCCATCCAGTTATAGAATGACCTTGGATAAGTTACTAACGACTATATTATCTCGGATCACCCATCCGATAATAAACTGACTACGTATGACATGCATTAAATAGCTCTTGTAGCTAGTATGTTGTTAGTCAGTGTGTACGGGGAGCTTAAGCAATTAAGCGAGAAGAACTCCGAATCAGGCCAGCCTTCTGTCCAAAGCTACATTTAGTAATTGATGTAGGAAAAAAATAGGGCCCTTGAAATTGTTCTCGGACAACACCCCACACCGCAAGGTAGCCGAAAGGCAGGGTATTCTTCTTCTTCTTCTTCTTCTTCTCAAACTTTTGTGAGTAATACTCTCGAACTCTTAGCTAGTAGAGTTCATCATCTTATTTGATGATCAAGTACTATCGCCTTTAAAGATGTGAAATTCTGGTTAGTAACGTTCTCTCATGCACCTAATTAGTTGTCCAAGACTGTTGTCTCTAGTAGCTAGGTATATTAGATCATGAAAATTCAGCACCGCATAGAATGATATGTACTGGTCATTGACTGACCCCACGTACAATCTACATGCTGACAATTCTTCTAAATTCAATGCCAACCAGGAATAGTATGCGAATAGCGCTAGCCATTGTATGTTATCATCTGCCATTACAATCATTACTCGAGTTTTACAATATTTGACTTGTTTCAGTCACGATGTATAATTATCTTCAAGCATAGTCATTAACCATGACTGATGACTGATCTCTGTCACGGTCTATAATGGTAATGCCTCGTAATCCTCATTTATCATTATATATGCTCACATTTAAGTATAGTCTTTCTTTGTGTTCGATAATTTCTGACTAGTGGTAGCTACGACTATTCAGAGATCTCAATCATTCCCCATGTTTATCTTGACCTTAGCGTATGTCTCTCGATTCTGACCCACATTCAGTCATTCATGGCAAGCGAACTCCCCGTGCATATAATAACTTCTGATCAACATCACCAGATATTATCACCCAGTGGTAGGGGTGTCACATTTAAGTTTAAAAAAAATTATTAAATCGAGAAATAAATTTTAAAAATTTAAATTTAATTTAAAACTTTGTATCATTTAAATTTAAAATAAATTTAAATTAAATTGTTTGAAATTCAAATTAGTTAAATTTTGAAAACTAGCAGATAAAAATACTTTTTGACTTGATTCCTACTATTTAAAGTCAAATTTGAGTATGTTTCCTGTTTTCTAAAGTTAAAACTAGTCATTCTTCTATGAATTCTGCTATTAAATATATTTTTATGAGTATCCCAGTATTCTGAAGAAGAAAGATGACGGATCCTGCATAATCTGTAGAGAAATTTTGACTATTATGAATAAGTATTAACCTAAAATACTAGGTCTTCCTCTCATTTAGTATTCTCTACTGTTCAACTCACGTATTTCCCTTGTAGCAATGATGAGTATCCATCCAAACAGTTTATTAAATTTAAAATTTAAATTTAAAAAAATTTATTAAATCGAGAAATAAATTTTCAAAAATTAAATTTTAATTTTTGTATGAGAAAAATTTTAATTTATTTTAAATTTAAGATTCTGAAAATTTAAAATTAAATTAACTTTTCACGAAGTTAAATTTAAATTAAATAAACTGTAAATTGACACCCCGAATGTCTATTGCTATCTTACTCTGAAAGTTTGGTCAGCATCTAGTCGTAGTTAGGGAGTTAGCAACCATTATAACGTAGAATAAACGTTGCGGTGTCTTCTTTTCGAAGGTGATTTATGTTGTTAGACGAGTACTTACCGGATGGATTTCCTGTAGCAAAGCTTCTCTGAAACAATTTGGGCAGTGTAACGGATGCAAATGTGAATTTCTTCATGGTTAATATTTATCAATCGCTTAGCGATATAATGTTTCTTACATATTCACAAAATCCCAGAATTTCAAGTTTCACCAAATCCGATTTTGACTACACTATATCTCAAGAACAGCTAATTCCATCGTGCTAAAATTTTCTTTGAACTTATAAAGCAGTAAGGTCTATACACTCAACAAATATCAGCTCCAGCAATTCATCCCTAAGGGTTGCATGGATTCTAGCAATGAGGGTGCGGGTGTGGATGTGATGAAAGATAGACACACGCTTGTCTACACACACCCACACCAAAATTAAATCTAGATCTATATCCAAAATTATAAATGGGAGCGAAGTTGAATTTATAAATTTCATCATTTATAAAAACTAATTGTTTTTGCGGCGGTGGCGTGAAAACACGAAAGTGGTTTTTTTCCATGTATATTCGAAGTCGAATTAGGCAGCTACTCGTCGAGAATGAGATTTTAATCCGTCGGATGTCACAGAGGTAGTCTAACGAAAATTTCCAATTATAGATTTGTACCATTTCTGCATCGAATTTGATAATACTTTTTTCCTTTGAAAGATATATCATCAAGTATTCTGTGTTTTCAAAACGAAAGCTCCACATGAAGTATTCTATATTGTTGTCACTTATATCGGTGAAATGTTTTGAATTTTTTTTCATAAGCTCCCCAAAAACGTTATTTTCGATATTTGTCCATTTTTGACAACATATGTGAGATTTTGCATAGAATTTTTCGTAATGTATTTCAACGTGTAGAAGGCAAGCACTTGTAAATCAAGAAATCATACTGACCAAGAAAATAACGTAACTCTACCGATTCACTTTTCCCTCAATGTTTCATGAATAATTTGCAAGAACTATCTTCAAAAACTGAGTGATAGTAAGATCCTGACGGATGAGCATGCTTTTGTTGATGTGTTTCTTTTCATAATGGGCAAAACTGAGGAAAGAATTAATCAGTGGAGTTAGTTCATTTTCTCGGACACCAATATTTCTTGATTTACAAGTGTTAATCTTCTACATGTTAAAATACATTACGAAAAAATCTATGCAAAATCGTATATATGCTGTGAAAAAATGGAGAAACATCAAATAATTTTCGATGAGCTTATGAAGAAAAAATTCGAAATATTTTACCGCTGCAAGTGGAAAAGTTATAAAACAGTTAATATGAAGCGTTCGTTTTGAAAAAATGAAGATTTAACTGTATTTCTTTCAAATGAAAAAAAAAGTATTACCGAGCTCGGTGCAAATGCATAATTGTAAATTCTTTTTTTCTAGACTATCTCTACTATAATCTGGATTTTTTAAACTATAGTATTCAAAAAAGGATTATTTTTTCCAGTAATTATCGAATTGCAAGCAGTTTTATTTGAATTGTTTAATTTTACTTTGTAAAGACAGGATCTATCTCATTTCTACTTTTCAAGCCTTCGAAGAGTTATGTTATCCTTTCATTAAAATGATCACTTCTTTTCATACGCTTTCGACGAAATTTCCTTGGACGATAGATGCGCGTTATACTGGGAAAATTACTTGGTAGTTTTAGTCGATTCTGTTAATGGTGAACTTATCATAGAAAAAGTTAATCTGAACGCTTTCAGGACGACTTGGACTCACGGTGAATTTCCGATTAAAGGTCTAGGACGTTCTAAGAGATTCATCGACTGAGCTTCGATCTTAGAGAAAGCTATATCGTGACTTACCACAGTCCCCTGCTTGTCCTCTATCCCTTTTTACGACATAGCAGAGGTACAGCTCCTGCAAGAGTACCCTGAAACATTTTTTTATGGGTCCAAGCTCATAAATGTTCAAGTAATTTGATGTAATCGTCCGAATGAGCAATCATACAGTGTGCAAAATTTTACTATTCTAGCCTCAAGCATTCCACGTACGCTAATGAAAACAATTTACTCATTGGTTGTTCTTTCCTGTATATTTTTCTTTCTTCCGCGAGCTAGTGATATGATCGTGGTTATCTTCTCTTCTCTTCTTTACGTTACTTAATTTCTCTTTGTTGTTATTGTTCCTTTTTTCTTTCTCTAATCTACTTATGATTTTTTTTCATTTTCTCTCTCTTAAAATTGTAGTGTAAGGATCAATTCGACCACAGTGATACCAAAACAAAGCAAAAGCTGTTAGCACAATTCCTATGGGATTTGAATGTGAAACATGATGCAACTCCATTGCTAGAACCTGTCTACCACTATCTGTAATCATATATGCAGCCCTTCGATCACGGCATGTATTTTGATCTATGAGGTCAGTGGAGATCATCACAGACTGACAGAGAATTCAGAGATCATCGCAGACCGTGACAGAGAAATTAATTAATTAATTAACCAATTAGCTAATTAATTAATTTCTCTGTCCCGATATGGGGCTCCAAATTTCGACCCTATATACTTCAGCACTCCTTTCAGATAGTGTTTCACAAAAAAAAATGTTTAAAAAGTAATCATAATTATTGCATGAATATTATTTGAAATGTAACTATTATTTCGTAACATAATGTTATATTAGTTGAGTGATTCATCTCAATTTTACTGATCGTGTTGCGTTAGCATTATACAGATTATTATGATGAGTCATGACTAATATTATCCATGATGTAGGTTTTGATATTCGAACTTTGAGTTCTCATATCTATGGGTAAAGTCATTCGATTCCACGAACTCCAATATTCTTGTTTATTCCACTGCATGAAAGAATCTGCTTTTGTTCAGCAAATAAATAATATTGTGCAATTCCACCGTCTTGATCTCCATTTTCAGTTTAAATCGGATGTATTTTTCTTTGTGAAAAGTACGATCGAGCTCAAATCAATTAATTTACACAATCGAGAGATACTACTACATTTTGTTGTTCTCAAGGTGATTGCATGAGTAATAATTGAAACTGTCCATTGAAAAGCAAGTTATTAACAATGAAAACATGTACTTTCAAAAAATAACAGATTAATTAAAGCCTTGAGGAGTTTATGCTTCATTCATGTCCATTCCTTCTCTACTTCACGCGGTTAATGTGATATCATTAAAATGACTGATTAAGGTCACTCATAATTAATTATGTCGAACTGATTTAGTATCGATAATATGATCATATCTTATACGACTTAATATGTTCTTATATGCGTGAATTAAATATTACTGATAGGTGACAGTCAGTTTGTTTGAAAAAGCTGTTAGCGCAATCCCTGTGGGATTAAAATGTGAAACACGATGAAACTCCTTTTCTGAAATCCGTCAATTATGGTCAGTGATGGTCTGTGGAGCTTCTCTGTTACGGCCTGTATGATGATGTATGGAGTCACTAGAAGCCATCACAAACTGTTACAGAAACCTCAGAAACCATCACGGACCGCTACAGAGAAAATAATTAATTAATTAACCAAGTATTAATTAATTATTTTCTCTGTAGCGGTCGGTGGAGGGGGGGGGGTTGTCCAAATTTCTAGCGTATATACTTCAACACTCTTTTCAGATCGTGTTTCACAAAAAAGTAGCATCAGGGAAATTTCGATTAACAAATATCATTTACTATTGAAAGAAACATTACTATTCATGTCGCATAAAATAACGTATTATACATAGATATGTATACATTCAAATTTATTTGATTAAACTATCTTGCTACAGGTTAGTTGCTGGATGAATTCTTGGTCGAGAAGTTAGAGTAATATAATCACATATTTATTCTAGACGAAAGAATCTGTCGAAAGGAACTTGAAATGATAAGTAACTAGCAAGCATTCATTTCTTGTTCACTGCGTCGACCTGCTCCACAGC